ATTTCAAAATATAATTTTTACTTTTAGTTTTTAATTTTTAATTTTTTATTAGATAAAAATCTAGTGAACAAACTATAACTAAGTTTTAAAGTGTGTATTTACTTAATAACATTCCTTTCACTTGTTTTTTGGTTTTTTTCTTTTATTTGTATTAATTTATTATCTTATTTTATACATTAATTATAAACAACTTTCAATTCAAGCCATCTTATAATTTGAATTGAAGATTGAATTTTATCCTTCCATTCTCTAAGATTTATGTCTTTAATAGTCTGAGAAGACTGCTAACTCATTATTCTTGTCTTATTTTATAGAAGTGAATGGACTACCTTACTTCTATTATTGAATTATGAAGATTGTAGACTATCCACCTTTACTATAGTATTTTTTTTCTCTAATAGTGATTTTTTTTTTAAAAAATGGATCAGCTTTTTTTGTAGAAATTTTCACTTAGTATTAGAAGTTGTAGATTACCTTCTTCTAATTTAACTTATACATAAGTTTTGAGTTTTTTATAGAAGAAAACATTATAGATGCTATCTTCAACAAAAATAAGAATAGATTTGCAACTATTGTACATCTTGACAAACTTATCAATACTTTTAGGGTGGAAATCTCGCATATTTTTAGTATCAACTATAGAAGTAGTATTTCAATACCTATAGAAGTGATCAACAATAAAGTTCAAAATTAATGTCAATAAGTTGTGCAATTGAGAAAAACAAGTAGATTAAGTTCACAACTAAATCTCAAAAATCTTGCTACTATAAGTACAAAGAAAATAATAATGAGTATGTCGGAGAAGTTTAATGGAACAAGATCAATGTTTTGAAGATTTCTACAACAAATAAATCTCTATGTTAGGTTACATCCTTCTTAATACCATAATGGATTTATTCAAGTTAGATTTATAGGTGAATTTTTCTTTGAGAGTATTTTTAATTGATTTTTATCTTTGATAGAAAAGAATTTATAATTACTTTATGATTTAAATTCATTCATAGAAGTCTTCATGACCACATTTGAAGAAAATTATTGAAAAAGGGTAGTAGAGATCAAACTTGTATCTTTACCTGTCACGGACACAAAATACAGACTTGAAATCTAACAAGAAGTTCAAGAAGAAGTGGCAGAAGTAGATTAAACAGATGAGTACAAGAACAACACCAGAAAGGTGAGCTAGAACTCCAAGAGATGTGTTGTCGAGACTGAAGAACTCTTCAGCCTCGACTCCTATATATACTACTGGCCTATGGTTCTAAGGAAGCGCATCAAGAAGCTTCCCAAGAACTATGAAGCTTCTCGAGCAACTACCCAAGAGCTAGGAAGCTTCTCAAGTAACTTCCTAGAATCTACTAGAATATTCTAAAAATCTTCTAGAGCCTTCTAAGGGAATCTTTAGAGAATATTTGAAGAATATTCTAAGAGAATATTGAAGGAATCTTCTGGAAGTTTCTAGAGACTTCTTTCTAGAAGGTTCTAGAAACTTGTCTCTAGAAAGGTCTAAGGACTATGTCCCTAACATTACCACAATGATCATGTTCAGCCACCAAATACGCTGTTAAATTCCAAAATCTTATTTGCAATGTGGATTAGAATGACAAGGTCTTTATCAATCAATTTCAATATGGATTTAAAAATAATATCAAAGTTCTACTATTGACAATGCCAAGAGTAGACTCATTGAAGTATGTTTTTAATAAGATTTAATTTCTAGTTGATTTTTTAACCTAAAAAATAATAAGATTTATGAAATGTTCTTTTAAGACATTCTTATCTTATATTAATAGAAATAAATGCATCTTTTGATCAACAAAGAATAATTTTTTTGAATCTAAAGCATTATTTATCTTTGAGTAGTGAAATCAATATTAACTATTGATTCAACCTTTCTCAAGCAAGTTCAATTAAGTATGTCCTCTGATCTTTTTATTTATGATATTAACAATAATTCTTCTTAACCTTATGATATTTTTAGGTTTAAATTCAAAAACAATATACTCTATTTTGAATAAGACTTTATAATTAAAGACTTTTTATAATTATATAATGTTTGTTCAAGATTAAAAGCTTCTTATCAATAATCTTATGGACTTCTTTAGCCATTACTTATTCCAAAACAATTATAGTCTTTTATTTCTATGGACTTTATCATGGATCTTTTAGTCTCAAGTTCTTGTGGCTTTATATTTGTGATAGTAGATTGATTCATTAAAATAGCATATTTTACACCATATACAAAATCTATCATAGGTGAAAAAATATGTAAGTTTTTCGTTGACAACTTCTATTGCTATCTTAGATTGCCAAAGGATATTATATCAAATAGGAGAACATAATTTATATTAAGATTTTAGAAAATTATTTTTAGGATTTTAAAGGTGGACATAAAACTATCTTTGACTTTCTATCCTCAAACTAATGGCCAAACAAAGTGAATGAATCAAGATTTGGAGTAGTATTTGATATATACCATCAACTACGAATAAAACAATTGCACAATTTTTTTACCATTAGCAAAGTTTGCTTATAATAAGATAGGACATTCTTTTATTTAATAAATATCTTTTTTTAATTATGGTTATTATTCACAATTTATTAATTTTGATTTTTCAAAAGTTGATAATCTTACAACAAAAAGGTTGGCAAATCGTTTATTAGAGCTATGTGCAATAATAATGATACAACTAAAAGAAGCTCAAAAACAACAAAAGATTATTGCAAATGCTTATTACAAGGAATAACCTCAATTCCATATTAGAGACAAATTATGATTACTTTGTTGTAATATGAAGACTATTTACCATTGTGACAAGTTAGATTATCCTATACTTATACCATTTTCTATATATAAATAGATTAATCCAGTTGCTTATTGATTGTATCTATCAAAGTCTATGAAGGTCTATCATGTATTTTACGTATCTCTTCTTAAGCCACACAAGACAATTGATATACTATAGAAACAAAAAATACCATTTTATCTTATAGAAGTATATAATAATAAAAAATATGAGGTCAAAGAAGTCTTAGATTCAAGAGGGGGCCTAAATATATTAGAATAACTTGTTTATTCGCATGAATATAATATTAATGAATATACATGAGAGCCAATTAAGAATCTTCTAAATAAATTTAAGAAGATTGATATTTTTATCAATAACATTCATTAAAATCAAGATGAAGAATAGAAAATATTTACTATAAAAAAATTATAATTTAAAAAAGATTGTATTTGATCTCCTATCTTTGTTTGTAATTTTTGTATATTTGTGGCACTAAAAAGATAAAAAATAATACTAATAATGATAGCCAATAGATTCAATTTAAAAGCCATTGTTTGTTGACTTATCAAACAAGACATTACAATTATCATAGTCCTTAAGATGACTTAATTAAGATAAAGACCTTCAAGAACAACATATTCTTCTTTGAATAGATGGCAAGATATTATGTGCTTGGTATCATAACCTTAGAAGAAACTCTTGATGTTTGATGATTTTATTAAAGATAGAAATGACTTTTGATGGTATTACAAATATTTTGTTTGAAAGAAGTTGCAAAGGCCTTAATAATAATCAAATAAAAGAGTGGTTTTCCTACTCTAGAATGAGACATTTTTGATGGCTGAGGGGACCTATCAACTACCTTTAAAGAGAACAAAGATCAAAGTATGTGGCAAATACAAGGCGTTGTATCTTTGACTTTCTCAATATGTAATCATTGTTACTTATAGAAATCATTGTTAGAAAGGAAGTAATGTCATTGACATACATATTTATTCTAATAATTATCTAGATATTATGAATAAATAAAAGTAGATTAATTTAATAATATCTTATAAGAAATCTTCTTAGAAACTTTATAAATAAGATTTCACCTTTATATCTATCTATAAGTGATTGTTAGGTTAGAAACTTGGCCAATAAGTTAACCACGTATCACACATATTGGTAGTTTGTGGTACAACTTAATAATGTGGCGCACATATAGGAAACTTGTCTTACAAGTTAAGGCATGTATCTTACAAATTGAACACGTGTTGGAGGTCCTATAGAATGTCGCCACGTAGCTTCTAGTTAGATAGTATATATAGAAGCAAAGTTGAAGCCTTCTTCACTCTTACCAATGCCTTTCTAATCCTTAGACTTATTTTAAAACTTTCTAGTCTTCTTATCTTTGGCAATAGTCATTTTAATTTAATATTATATCATCTTTGAATAATCCTATAGTCTTTTCAAGTAACACAAGAGTGTATTGATCTTTTAATTCTTTGAGATTCATATCCTTGACAGTTGCACAATTTGTTTTTTTTTTTGTTTTTTTTTGTTTTTTTGTTTTTTTTGAAAAATGTTCAAAGGTATTACAAGTTGAATGGATTGTTATAGCATAGCTTTCTTTTGTGTGATTAAATTGGTTTTTTTAAAAAATCCATTAGCATCAATGAAATAAGTAATACTTTGTTAATAATTTAATGGTATCTTTAGAATTATAAAACAAATTCATATAACATAAAAAATAAAATAAAATATTAATACTTACAAAATTATCATTATTTTATCATAACAAAAGAAAATTGTAAAGTGTAGTTCACCATAAAAATCTGCTGTATTAGTCCATGCACCAAAATGAACAACGCTGTACCTACCCGCCAAGTAGATTGCATGAAAACCGGACCCGACCATGCTGACACCCGCGACAGGTCCACATTGATCGATACCCTCCAATACCTGGCCAGATACCCAAGAACCAATCGGAGGGTATCGATGTGTGAGGTGAGATCAGTCCTCGGGTGGCAGCCGGCCACGTCGGCGTCCACTTGGCGACAGCACGCCACATCGGTGTCCACTTGGCGATAATCCAAGTGAGACCGTCTTCACAGGTACCACGTCACTGGGTAGGCCACCACGACGCCATGCTACCGAATTGCACCACAACACGCGTTGAATCGGAGAAGGAGACCCCTCCTCATTTGCACTTTGCAGTCTCTAATTGTGGAGCTTAGATTCTTTCTTGAGTGGGGGGGGGGGGGGGGGGGACTCGAGGGATGAGAGGAAGAGGGATTAGTAGGAGAAGACAGTGGGCGAAGTAAGAAAGGAAGATTGAGAGAGGAGAAGGCTGGCGAAGTCTGGTGATCAAAGTTTGCTGTCATGGGGATTGTTAGCACGATCCTGGGGTTTGTGGGGTTTGGATGGGGCATCGGCGTCGGACTTGCGATAGGATACTTCCTATTCATCTACTTCCAGCCTGTTGATGAGAAGGTAATGTGGGTTCTTTTAACCGCATTCTGTCTTTTGAGTGGTATGGGTGGCGAGTTTGTTGGGATTGCGTAGACCTTGGTTTGGTGTGATTGTAGAGGTGTTTGTTTCGTGTAGTATGGAATGAGGTTTTTGTTTCCGACCTGGGTATGGTTTTAATTTTCCTTGGAATGTTAACAGGATCCTGTCATTCGGAACCTGGATGAGTTGGATTCGAGAACCTTGCAAGGGCTCCTCGGCGAAATTCCTCTATGGGTGAAGAACCCAGATTACCATCGGGTAATGGCACCGTTTCTTGTCAACTTTTTATACTGATTATAAGCAGTTTTGCTTTGGTGTTTTGGTTTCGCATGCATTCTACACTTTCTCATGGAATTTGTATTGAGCATGTGTAATCTTACATGGCACAGATTTTCTATGTGTGCAAGCTGTTTTCTGTGTGATTGAAGTCTTTGTTGAGCAATGAGTCTTCATTTGGCATTCGACAAGCTCTTCCTACGCTTAAACTGACCTGTAGAAGTTTTCTATTTTCAGGTGGATTGGGTGAACAGGTTCTTAAAGGACATCTGGCCTTATCTTGATAAGGTACTACAACTTCTTAATCAGTAAATCCATGGACGAAACAAAATGTCTCTCTCTTTCTCGATGTCAATGAACATTGAGAACATTCCTTCAGTTCTGATATAAAGTCGTTTGATAGCATGCGGGGAGTTGAGAATTTCGTCTGTTTTTTACATTATTAAAACATAACGATATCTATTTCAGTTAAAGAAATTACAAGGATTTAAGCTGAATTACTGAGATTTTCGTTTCCTACATGTGAACGGCAGGCAATTTGCAAGATGGTTCGACAGCAGGCACAGCCTTACATTGATAAATATGGGCCACAGTACAAGATGGATTCTATCGAGTTCCAGTCACTTACCTTGGGAACGTTGCCTCCTACATTTGTTGGTGCGTATTACTTTCCATCTATGTCTCTGCCTGTACATGCATTTTGCTGACATCTCATAAGTGTGTATTTTGGACATTGTCTCTGTAATCTATCAGCAGTAGGAACGCCATTTTCTTCTGATACTTGGTCTATCATTTGATTTTCTAGGTATGAAAGTTTATGATACTAAGGAGGCAGAGATGATTCTCGAGCCTTCCTTTAAGTTCGCTGGGAATCCAAATATTATTGTTGCTGTGAAAGCTTTTGGTTTGAAGGCAACAGTACAGGTTAGTTCAGAATTGATAAAGTCTAAAAGCATATTCAAGCTCAAGTGATTGATGCAGGTTGTTTATTTATTTGAGAGGGTGTTGGTCTGTTGGTATGTCGCTGGATGGGACTTGCTCACTAGGTTTCAAGTAGTTGACTGCAACCGTTTCCTGATTGCATCAATTTGAAGGTAATGAAAAATTCGGTCGTTTTCTGGAATATAACGATGATTGGGTTTGGATGTGCAGGTGGTAGACGTGCAGGTTTTTGCGACAGCAAGAATCACACTGAAGCCTTTGATTCCAGTTTTTCCATGTTTCTCGAAAATAGTAGTCTCTTTGATGGAAAAGGTATGTATGATGCAAGAATTTGTAAGCTACCCCTTTATGTATTAATAATTTCACAAGATTTTGGTTCGTGAATAGGTTTTGAATATCTTGTGCGTATCATAACAGTTATTACATTCTCCATCTTTTAAGTCGTACGTTCCTGTCTGCTATATTTGCGATTTGATGTTCCGATGATCTTAGCAGATACCTGTCATGAGGTGTATTTTTCTTTTCTTCTTTTTATTAAACTTACAACTTTTTTTGTGTTGGCAGCCTCACGTAGATTTTGGTCTGAAGCTGTTGGGCGGAGATATTATGGCAATTCCTGGACTTTACGGTTTCGTTAAAGTATGTGGATCCTTGTTGTGGATAAACTTCCTAATTGCTTGAGAATTTCCCAGTAAAGAAGCTTTGGTCCTATTTTGTAAGCACATAAGATCAGATAGATTCTATGCCCTGATGTTCCAGCAACGAACGTTTGAACGCAGGATACCATCGCAAATCAAGTCGCTGATATGTACATGTGGCCGAAGTCTTTAGAAATCCCAATAAATACTGATGCCAGGTACTCAGCTCTTCCGATGTTTTCTTGCTCTCAAATATTACGTTTACTTCTCTTATCAAGCTGTATCGGCCAAAGTCATTAGTTGCACAGCCTTGATACTTGTGTTGAATCCTTGGCAGTGCTGATAAGAAGCCAGTGGGCGTGGTTGAGGTGAAGATTATTCGAGCCACGAACTTAATGAAGAAAGATTTCATGGGTAAAGCCGACCCTTACGTCAAAATTCAATTGGTTAATACGATGCTTTCGAAGACAACACGCGCCAAGATGAACACTTTGAACCCCGAATGGAATCAGACTTTCAAGCTTTCTGTTCAAGACCTCAAGTCACAGTCTCTTGAGCTACAGGTTTTTGACTGGGAGAAGGTGTGTATTTTTAAGCCATTCATTAGTACGCTGTTTTCTTGTTCTCTGCATGGTGCTCTCTCCTCTTTGTTGTCTAGAAAATGTTTTATGAGAGATTATTTTGCCGTGATTATGTTTTTGAAGCGATGTTAGCTCATCAACTAAGGGACTGTGGCAGGCTTAATTACGTCTTAGGATTAAATTCAACCGTTTTTGACTTAAGTAAGATAATTTTATTTCGTTCAGAATATTTGTTTGCAATATTAATCATTTTATTTTAATGTGGATTATTGTGTCCGGCAGGTTGGAGCACACGATAAAATGGGAATGCAGGTCGTGCCATTAAAGGACTTGCAGGAAAACGTTCCAAAATTACAAACTGTTCCGCTGTTTAAGAATATGGATCCTAATGACGAAGCCAATTCGAAAAAGCGTGGCGAGTTAACGTTTGAAATGAATTTGAGACTCTTCAAGGAAGTAAGTTTTTTAGTAGTTGTGATTTTTTTTGATAAGTATGAGCTACCTGAAGTTTGACAATTATGATTACGTGAGATTTATATCAAACTCTTAGAAATGCCTCGAGAATCATGAGTAACCGCGAGGTGATTGATGGTCATCAGGACGATACTGAGGAAGATATCAAAGCGAAATCAATGGATGATGGACAATTCGCAAATGGGGTTAAATCTTCTGAAGGAGGATTGCTGTCGGTCATCATTCATCAGGCCCAGGAATTAGAAGGCAAACATCACACAAACCCCTTCGTGGAGGTTAATTTTCGGGGGGATAAAAAGAAAACTCCGGTAAGCTCTAACTATGGTTACTTCACATTTAACCTCATATTTCTTTGCCTTAAATAATTTTGCTTTCAGCCTATCATACAGTTATGTCCTAAACCATGTAAATAATTCTTTCGCGTTCCTTTAGGTTGTGAAGAAAAATAAAAACCCCAGATGGGATCAACTATTTACTTGGCAACTGGACGATCCCCCCGTTAGTGACTCCCTGCACATCGAGGTCCTGAGCAAGGGCTCAAGTCTGAACATGGTGCATCGTCATGTAAGCTTTCATTCAATACGCAATGCCAATTTAATATATATACAAAACTACTTGTAAGCGTGTGTATCTGAGTTCCAATTTCCTATATTTTTACTTTCCTGTTCCATCGTATCTTTGGCAAACTGGAGGAAATTTGTTGACTTATAGAAAGTTGGTTTATTGAACACCCATCTGCCAAAGACTTGGGGCGTTCAAAACGTAAGATATTTCTGAGCGCACCTCATGGATAATTTTCTGTACTTGGATGTTGCCTGATTTCATGTATCGTGTGAACTGAATCATAGTTTCTGCGTGTGCAGGAAATTTTGGGATCTGTGAACATTCCTCTTGGAGACGTGGTAAAGAATAAGAACATCAATTCTAAGTATGGGCTGGCTAACTCTCATGGTATGATCCAAGTGGAGCTGAAGTGGAAGCCTGTGTAGATGATGACTGCGAAGGTTCTGTAGAACCAGCTTCGATCAATCATTCATGCAAAGCTATTAGCTGTGTGTAGTTACGAGCTGGGTTTAGTACAAGCTTGTGTATGACGTCAAATAAATCGAGGAAACCATCTTGAAGGGAAAACAAGTGGTTACAGAATCCTTTGTATTTTTGTATTGTTGTACACCTCAAGATTACAGCACAATGCTGCACCCTTTTGTTTTGCATAATTCGAGGCTCTATATTGGTTGACGTGGATAATAAAAAGGTGGGGTTGAGGTATCGACATAATTTCGGCAGGTTTTCGAAAATCAGTCAATCGTACTTTACATGGAGACAAGTTAAGTCAGCCTGGTCGTTTGCCACTCATTTTTTGACCAGCACCCTAGAATGGCTTGCACATGCAATCTTTCAAGAGTTTTCCAGGCTGGTTTCAGGACGCGTTGGCTTTTTTTCATTCTTTGTATGCTTACATTGCATCTGGATCCCCAACCATTTCTGATGCAGCCTCCATAATCTTAGCATTTTCAAGGTCACTCTTCAAGTTGTACACTTGATCATATGCTTGACAACCAATTGAGTCAGTTGAAGCATGTCTCTAGGACAAGTAAAAGTTTTTTAACTCCTCGCGGTCAAAGATCAGTGCAGCTTGCCATGAAATTCACCCCACATCGTTCCGGGGTACAATCCTCTTCCTTTTGAACACGCAAAGTTTATTGCCTGCTAGATTAGAATATCAATTTTAATTCGGCATTTTATGTTCCATCCCATGATTTCTTTTTTTAACATCTACTTATGAATTGCTTTTTGATTAACACAGGGTGAGATGTCGTGAGAAACCTCATCGATGGCTCCATTTGCTTTTGAGGAGGGAGAAGCACCGCTTCAAATCCGCTAGATGCGACAAAATTGGTGTTTTGTGATGAGATTTTAATAGAAAAAGATGGAAAATGAAGGAAAGAAATTTACAAATGCTTATTAAAATTGAGTAAATTTCTATTAAAAACAGTTGCAGTTACATGTATGCAACAAAGCACGTATGTCATTCATGGCCACAATTAAGACGTGAATGTATAGAAAAACAGAAAATACAAATCAGATATGAAACAATTCTTACTTTTTCTCATGCTTACCATTACAAACCAGATATTAATTACTTTAATTTTATCATTATTAGAACGCCACAAGTGCAATTCGTAATTATATAACCAGAATTTAAAACTAATAACAACAATGTTTGTTCATAAAGTCTTTAGTTACATTGTTAAACAGAAATTGTATTTCAAGTCTAAACAAATTATACGCATCAGAGCATGTATAACTTTTATTCTTCAACCGAGTTACTATTATTCCTATTGGTATGTATTGCATCAATCTAACTCTTATTTGGGAAAAATACTTTCCCTTTTCTGTAAAATTAAAAAATTCAAGTTCAAAATACTTCAAAATTATAACCAATAACAATTATAACCTTACTGTTTGTGATCAAAGTTACTGTTAGTGTGTAAGAATGTAATAAACATATCACATAAGATTGAAGTTATAGTAAAGGCTGAAACCAAAGAATACTCCAAGCATGACACAAGTTAATGTACTTCTTGTGTCAAACAAGAATATGTAGCAAATGCAATATGGTATAAAGTGAACTGACACCTAATCATGTTATTTACATAAACCAATCTTAAATAAAATGAACTAAAAACAACTAACCGCAAATGTACCAAAATGTATATTATAGCTGTAATCCATAATTAACATACAAATTGAGTAGATTGAATGGTTAAGTCAAATGAAAAGCGTGTTTCATAGTAAGACAGCATGGTTACACAGAAGTGTCGGCATCTGGGCATGGTGAGATTGATTACCGTGACTGATGTTCTTGTGGGTTGTCGTGAGGATTATAGAGGTGATGACCAGATTGAAGCGATGGAGCAAGTTAAAACGCAAGCAACCATCGGATGTACCCTCACGAAGGGCGAACGAAGTGTGCTGGATTGAACAACGTTGGTGGCGAGAGCTTCCGACTTCATAGAAACTGACCAATATACAGACCCCAGGTCTAGATTCTCAGACCGTAGACCCAACGATCACACGGCGAAACCCTCACGAAGGCCGCGATCAAGCTGCACTTGAAACGGTAATGCGGCGGCATACTCGTCCCCCCCTATCTGCAACTTCCGCAGCCACTCGAGGACCCTGATAAGATATCCGAACGGTAAAAGCTTCTTCGGATCGCACCAGGCTGCGCTTCCGAGAACACAGCAACGGACCCCTAGTGCCCGAATTGTGTAATTGCCGTTACTCCGCATCTAGGCCACCACCACCACAACTGAAAGTCCCAACAGGTCTTTTCTAAATAACCCGGATCGAGTGCTAGTCGGGGAATTTTGGCAGGCTGGCTCTAGCAACGGCGATTGAACTCCGACCTGACATGAAGGATCCAGTATTATTGCTTTCACAGGGTTTCAGCTCAACCGCTACTTTCCATCCTCGCCTGAGCCTTGATGAAAAGCTGCATCATGGTGATAGAAATTCACTGTTCCAGGCCCCGCCGAAGCCCGTCTCGGATGGTATTCTATCCCAAAAAGGACGAACTGATTCCCGCACCTCCCAATTATTTTTGTTCTTTTCCTACCTGCTGTCAGAACTCGAAGCGCGTGAGTTGGGGTCGTAGGTTTCAACAAAGCTGGCTCCACTACGCTCCGATGGCGTCTGTTGCTAAACAGGGATGGCCGCTCCCACTGACGCACTCTCCGACGCAGGCTTGCCCATGGCCCGTTTAAGGTCCGATGCGTCCGATCTCATCAGATTCCTACTCGCCTCGCGGAGACGAAGTTCGAAATCCGCACATCTAGACACCGATCTCGTCAACCCCATCGCAACATCGACGTCGGATTTTAACTCTCGCTGTGACTTTCACCGCACAGCATTCCCATCGAGGCTCGCTGATTGCGCTGCCTTTTGCTTTTTCGCTGCCCGATGCCTCCATGATGTTCTCCTGTGCTTGTCGTCTTTCACTTTTTCCAGGTAGGTGCAGTTACTTTTTCTGCTTGAATTTATTGTTTTGTATTTATGTTTGTTTGCAGTTTTATTATGCTCAAGACAATTTTTTGTCCTGTTTTTTAATTTGATTGTTTATTACCATTCCATGACCATATCTGATTTTTGCCACATAATTTTTTTTTTAGTGTTTATCTATGTTAAATTAAAAAAACAGGATCTAAAGCTCATATGGAAAATAAGCTTAAAGTAAAATTGACCACTCCATATACTTATTTGGATAAAGTGGGTATATTTTCTATGTTTTTATTCCAAGATATTTAATCATTTTGACGAAATATACATTTTTTTTATAGATTTGTTATAAACATCTTTCAAAGATATTTAAGATGCTTTAGCATTTATGTGATACTTTGTTTACAATGTTTATTTCATAATTGAATTTTATTCTATGACTAAGAAAATATTATAGGGGGCACTAGTCCTTCTACTCAAGATGTTTAAAAAAACTAATGTATAAAATTAAGTATATTTAATAGATATATCTTTTACTTTCTTATTTGTACTAAAATGTACAAGCTAAAGTTAACAGTAATATTTATTAAGAATATTATAAATGTCTTTTTTATGATTTTAGTATAAAATATTATTTATTTCGAATTTTAACATTCTTCATATATCCAATTGATGTTTTTGGAATATAAAAAAAAATAAAATTGAATACATGTGGATGATAAAAATAACAAATAAAACAAAAGTATATAAATAAGTTATGTAGATATTAAAAAAAAAAGTACATGATTTATGTTTATTAAAGAAAACTTATGTCATTTTAAAATTTTAAAATCTAACTTATTCTAGCAACTCTTACAATGTTAATTGTATATATCTCATAATTGTTGATAACATACTTTTACAAAAAAAATCATTCAATTTTATTTCACTTGTCAAACTTAATGAAAGTGTATTCTTTCTATTATTTGTTGATTTATGAAATTGGACCAATATGTGATTGTCTATACAAATAATAAATAGAAATAAGTGAGGTAGATTCTTCATGCACATTTTTATTATTACTTCACAATTATTTTTCTTCTCTTCTTAAAGCCTCATGTTTTATTTATTTTAAGAATTGTATTAGAGCTAAGATATAAGATGTTTTAATTTCTATTCGTGATAAAAATTTATACTAATGGTGTAATTGATCTCTAATGTAGTTTTTTCATTAGTTACTCTCATTCTATTTTATTACAATAATATTATCCATGTCATCATTTATTTAACTCAAAAGATGGAAATTTATTCCATGAATAATAATTAAAGTAGTGAATATGCAATGTCTCACCTTTTTATTCATTTTTTCAGGTTGGTCGGAATTTCTGAACCTTGAGTAATTCTAATCATCAAATATACAGTAAGTAGAATAAAGAGATAATTTCTTGTTATTATTGCATATATATATATATATATATTCACACACATACATACACACATGTCAAAACCAGTACAAATCATTACAGAAGTCATCAGATGATGCTATTGCAAGTTTCATGGTAAATATTCATATGCAAAGTTTAACAATGATTTTTCTACATCCTCATTCTTTTTACTCTAAATTGGTTTTAATTGCTAAAAAAACACTATCATAAAAACATCCTACACAAGAATTACACTCACAGCTTCTTCTTCTTTTGTAAATACACCTGGTACAAAACCTCAACATTTCCCCAAAATGATAATCAACAAACATATACCTTCAAACCTCTTGAATCACAATCATGGTTTACATTCAATGATTGCAATCCGCAGTAGGACAAACTCCATGAATTTTGTTTACAACAATCTGTCCAAAATGGACCTTGAACTATTCACCATAAAAATGACAACAACACAACAATAATATTGCAATCAACATCATAGATAATGCCAATCTGAAGAACCACACCATTGTCACAAAATACTCCAACAACAAATTTATATATGTATATTTATATATATATATATATACATGAGAATGTTATATAGACCCAGGTTTTTACTGAATCGACCTGCTTATGATGAAGAATATGGTAATCGTAATGAAGGTGGTTAGATTTCATTAGTTTTGATCCAACAATGGAATAATGAATATCGAATTTTTTATTTTATTTTATTTTATTTTTTGTTTTTTCTTCATCATCATGATAGTTAAGATGGGTGGGTAAACTTAGTAAAATTATGGGTTTATTTAAAATTCAATATATATATATATATATATATATATATATAATCAAAATGTCAGAATGGGCATACCCACACACATGAAATCACAGAGCTCGCGGAGGAAGGAAGAGAGCCCAGCCACCATGGCAACGAGACCCTAAAAAAACGACAGTGGGAGACCTTCAGTGCTGGGCCAATAGAACACGACCCCATGCCCACGCCCTGCCCGGCCGGGGATTTGAAGGCCCAGGCAGGTAGGCCCAGGGGAGCCCCGGCTACCTGTGCTGGCCCAATGGAGTGTGGGCCCCATCGGGCCTTCATGTAATTATACCTGCGCCCGGTATAATACATAAAGGCCCGCTATTCTCGTCCAAGATTCTCCGTGCAATAATTCATCAAGCCGACGAACGATATTGCCCCCCTCCCTTCTGTGCCTGACTGCTTCATCACCCTCGCCGTGCCTCCATCGCTCACTCTTCGATTTTCTACCTTGATCGTGGAGAGGCTCAATAATTGCTCAGGGCTGTGAGGCCTCGTCTCTTCTCGCTGCCTCGTCGACCATCACTGACACTGTACTTGTTCTTTGAGAGCAGGCGCCTGGTATCGTACTGGTCCTGTGGCCCTCGGTCTCATTCTTTTCTTTTCTTTTGGTTGCTTGGGCTGTTGAGAGAGTGTGGAGTGGTGAAGCCCAGAGATTGTGGGTGCTTGTGTAGAACAAAACAAAATGCAATGTATAGGTGAGGTTTGTGTAATGAACGCGGTGCGGTTTTCCAGCTTTGGAGTGTTAGGTGCTTTGTTTTTTGATTCGCTGTTGTAGTTTTGTTGGACTTAATCTCGTTTATCTGGAATGAGGGCTTGTCGTAAGCTGAGCATCCCGGTCGGTAATACGCTGTTTTAAAGCTAGCGCCACTGGGATCTTCTCACTTCGCATGATAGTTTTGCCGTAATGATTTGGAGATTTTTTTCGAAGTCCATTCTGATTGGTACTCTTCAGATTACCCACTCGTCTGTGTTGAATTGTGGTGGGAAGTTTCATGAGAGCCTGAATTCGGTAGCACTAACTTGCAGTTCAGATGTATCAGATCCACCGCTCAAATCAATGACAGAACAAACCTCATGCTGCCGGGAAGGGCATCTTACCACCTCTTCATGGGAACAGTATTTGTAGCATAATATTCTATACGAAGACTGTGGACGCAAATTCCATCGAAGGTTGTGAGAAGACAACAGGCGAGTTACTACTCTTCAATTTCCTCGCATTCAAGCGTTTGATCAATGGATAAAGTCCCAGGATCTGGACGTTCCACAGCATCCCCTCGAGATGGCGCCCGGCCTGGAGACAACAGGGGGGAGTTCAGAGTTCGTGTCCACGATCATGATGAGCACTCATTCGAGCCAACGCCTGAAGTACCTCAGAAGCCTCAACCATTCATCCCTCGGAAGCACAGGTATTTCCCCATTGCAGTGCCAGTGATAATGGTGGGTAGCATCGTCGTCTTCATCATGATGATGTTATACAACGACTGTCCGAAACATATAGCACCTGGGGAGAAGTGTGTGGGTGAATGGTTGAAGCCCTTGTCTTTTCAACCCTGGGACGAGAATCCAATGCTCGGACCTCGCTGGCGAGCGATTATGAAATGGGGTGGGGTTGAGAGCTCTCTAGTGACGAAGAAGAAAGAAGGCTGGCGCCTCCTTTCGTCCATAGCTGTCAATGGAGGAGTTCTTCAGCTCATTATGAATCTGATAGCGCTTCTCATTGTTGGGCTCCGGATGGAACTCTATTTTTGGTTTTTCAAAGTCGGTATCATTTACACAATGTCCGGTTTCGGAGGCAACGTGCTGTCTACCCTCTTCATTCAGAATCAGTTGTTCGTTTCGGCATCGGCCGCGCTGCTGGGCTTGATTGGGGCTAGCTTTGCCGATATATTCATCAATTGGGATGTGGTTGAGCGGAAGGCGCTCAAGTTTGTGGACTTAATTGTCTTCGGGCTCATTAGCTTTGGCTTCGGGTTGATGCCACAGGTTGACAATTTCGCGAATGTAGGTGGCCTCTTCACAGGATTTTGCCTGGGCTTCGTTTTCCTGTTGCGTCCCCAGAGAGGATATAAGGATACCAGGCACTTGTCGCAGTTGGAAGCTTTCATCGTAAACAACCAAGATCCCGACCTCCCCCCCGTGAAAATGCACAATAAGAGACAACGAGTGATGCAACTGCTTGCCGGACTTCTGCTCGTGGGTTTGCTGGCCGCCGGCACTGTCCTGCTATTCCTCGAGGTCAAGGTCAACAAGGGTTGCTCCTGGTGCCATTATGCTGCGTGCGTGCCTAATTTGAAATGGACCTGCCCCAGGCTCGCCCCTTAAGCATAATTCTGAGTTGGAGACGACGGGCTGTCAATCATCCGACGAACTCCAGTTTCTCCACTGGATCTCCATCGCTCTGGATCGTCGAAATTTTCTCGATCTGTCCAGGAAAGATCACGACAAAATAAATCTGTTGAAAAACTAGAATTCAAGTATCTATAGCTGGGTATGAGAATGGATTGTGGTAAGCGTTGTCAATACTCTCCACATGGATCCTTTCGTGAACTGTCAAGACACGACGAGCATATCTCTGAGCTTGGTATTGTGTATTCAGATAGGCATGGAGTTCGCAGCGGCGTGAAGGTGCCATCGCTGGTTTCGTGTGAGGGGAAGGTTTTTTCTTAAAACAAACACTGTCGCGGTAGTGTATCGACATATTTTTTTCTGGAGAGAACGATGCCTGTAGCAATAGTTGAAATCGATTATGTACCCTGTAATTAAGCGGGAAAATCCGTGTTTTTTCTAAAGTTGCAGAACCTGTGAGGTGCTCCGAACGCCCATTTCGTCCCCTTCCAGTAAATGCTGGGCACCCAGGCTTGTGATGGTCGTGAGTAGCATAGCTTCCGCCATCGTCCGCTATTCAGACTCAGTCGTTGCAGTGCAATCGCATTATGACAGACATTAAAACGATTGCGCCGGAAGCAAATTACCAAGAATTAACCTCAAATGTAAAATCTCAATATGGTTACGAACATGTCTGATGGGATATTCCCATACACTATTTCTTCAACGAACCCTTCTCCTGCATTTCAGCTTAAACTGCAGCCACCTCAAGATGTTCCAATAATAACTAGTTAGCCAGAAGTAACATAGAGGTGGAAAGAAACTTGTGTAAGAACCGCAGTGATCATGTAATATCAATTCCTAAGTAGCTTCTTTTGTCTACTTCAAACTTAAATAAAATCTATCATTGTTTCCTTGGGAACTGTTTTATTGCTTGAAGCCACGATGTATTGCAAGTTCTAGGGAAACAGTAATGAACCAATGCCCCATTTTTCTCATCAAGAATATGAGTGAAGAGAATCCCTCTCACCTAACACATTTTTCTCATTACATCTAACACATTTTCTATCTTGTTCCATCGATTCGCGAGACATTTATAACTAACTTACTGCACCAATAAATCACCCGATCATGTCGGTTGTAGCAGAAAATACGTAGAGCAGAAATTACAGCGCAAAAGCAAACAATTGTAACATTCAGAAAGTGGGTATGTGCCAAACATGTTTTCACAGGAACCGCATGTGAAATAGCACCAATGTATACTAAGACTTGGTCGCTGTAGGAGAAACCTACCTTCAAAGGAGCGTGTCTTTACTCACATTCTTAAGAAGAAAGAAGTTTGTTTGGAATAATCACGACATATTTCAAACTTACTCTCAAACCTACAGTTGGTACACGTCCTCGCCACATTACTGTGTATTGAATGACAACTCAAACCATTAATTTGCAAAATCGTTCCCAAGATCGAAAAGAAAGCCAAAACTGGAGTGTACGTTGCATTTTAAAGAGTGAAAAGCATGAAAAAAGCTTAAAACCGATCAATTCTCCCCCCCCCTGAACAATGCTACATAATTTCATTAACAAACACTGTGAAACCAGATGTATCTATCCACTCTATTTGTGAGTACAAAAGTGCCGAACACTCCTTGAAAAATAATTACACATATGTACATAATTAATTCCATAACAGACACAAAACTATGCGAGTGAAGACCACAAGACGGTCTTACAAACCCCCGCTTCAAAACGGTTTCACACGGGATGATACCGCAATGACCACATCGAGGCGGTCCGAGAACCGGATTTATACCCGCGGAGATTTGTAATAGCTCCTAATGCTGACATGGTATGTGACGTGGAAATACGGCAGATTGAGCAGCTTCTTCCAACCCTAATTTTGCTCTGAAGCTTCTGGAACTATCAATGTCGAGCAAACAAAGTACTCGTCGTCAGGCACGGTAAACATCAACATTTCGCGGGGCACGGAGTTATTTACGAACTGATCAGAGGGAGGGAGTTGAGTTTCCGAATTGGAGTGAGCAAGCGAGGGACAGGTTAGCATACAACCATGGACGCGGCGAAGCTGAAGGAGCTTAAGGTGTTCGTGCAGCAGGTGGAGGCGTATCCGGCGATGCTGGCCACTCCGGCGCTTCGATTCTTTCGGGACTTCCTGGAGAGGTAGCGTAGTGAGAGATCCGCGCAGTCTTGCTTTCTCAGTATTTTCTGTTTCTTCTCAATTAACTTGATTTGACTTGGATCGATGATCACCGATTGTCGGTTGAGGTAGTCGAAGGTGGCGTTTGTCACGTGTGTGGTCGGTCGATGTGTGGGCGAGTTTTGTGCTTCATGTTTTTGTAACGTATTGTTTGTATATTGGTGTGTGTGTGTGTGTGTGTGCTCGTACCTTGGTCTGCTCTATGTTGTTTTATTGTTAGTTGTGTGAAGCTGCGTTATACCAAGACTTCGGCGATGGAATGGTGGGATGTTCTTCAGTGTTGACTTCTTGTCATTTGATGTTTTTGATCAGTTTTTTTTATTTTTAGTTCAACTGATCAAAAACATTAGGATTGAATTATTTTAGGACTTGATTCAGAACAAGGCTTTGGACCTGGAGTTTAGTTTTAACGAGGTTCGAAGGTGAGCGATTTGGTTTGCAGTTTTTGGATGGAAGTCGGATTGTTGTCTTCAGTTTCTGTGAGAACTATGTTTATTCGCATGTATGGTCTGAGATGAATAACCTTGGCATTGTGTACCTGTCTCAGCACTATTGTGATGCATATGGGATAATTGTTGATTTGTCGTCTTGTTTCGTGAACGGAATACCTGTAGTTTTAAAAAGTGTTGGCTACTATACTTGGATTGAAGCCTCTTTCAGGTCCCTTTACCTTCCCCATTATTTTTAGGACTGGTAAATGGTGAAGGTAATGCTGGATTCCCATCTGTATGTACTGGATCTGATTTTTAGACATCTGTTGAGTTTAAGATTGCAGAGGAATTCGATTTGGTATTGGGCTACCTTCTTCATTGTTGTCCTTTGAGAAGCATTCTCTTTTTCTCGGAGGTTCGAGCAATTCGGTATCTTAGAGGGTTCCACACAAAGTTTTTAAATGTTTTTTTCATTGGGGATGTTTTATTTTATATGATTTGTGATCAGGTTTGGAGCGACTCTGCCGTCAGTTGCGTATGCGGAGGAAGCCAAATCTGCCGGTGGTTGCGGAAAACCTGCTGGAGGCTGTTGTCCTCACCCCCATGGTCCTGCAACGGTATACGTTGGATAATTCCCTGTCATTTTATTTTATTTTATTTTATTTTAGTTTTTTTGGTCGGATTGTTTGTGCTTGTGCCCTGAATTTAATGTTTCTGAGGATGTAGTTGCCAGCGTTTACGCATCGTCTTCAGATTTTGATGTGTTTATGTCATCGGATAATATTTCGTCGTGGTAACCGTTGTAACTGTATGGTAATTTTGTTGGTGATGTATTTCATCGTATATGTCTTACTGCGCAGTAGTCTTAAGTAGTAAGCAGATGGTTACGGGAGAAGCTCTGCTGGATTGTGAGCTCGACACCTTTCAAGCTGAGTCCGACATTGTTTTTAAGTCGTGTAGTCATGTCCAAGTTTAAACGGTTCACATGTGAGCAGATCTCTATCTTGTAGAATTCGCTTAATCTGTAGCTTAAATTGTGATTTTTAACAGGACGAAGCAGAGAGCGATGATGACATGGAGGAGAAATCTATGCCACCTAAGACATATGAAGATGAAAATGTCACTGATGATGAGTCGGATATTGACCTAGACACCGAGGGTGTTGTGGAACCTGACGACGAGCCTCCCCAGAAGGCAAGTTTCTTTGCGCCTTACACTTCTTTTGATGATCATATTCGTGATCAGTTTTCTTGTCCTGTGGTTTTGTGGTCATATATCTTTCCTGCTGGGTGCAAGGCTGAGATTCACAATCTATATACAAGTATTCCTGTAGTAATTCTGTCGGTGAACCTATTTATATAGCATTAGGATATGGTTTTATGTACATGTAGCAAGATTCTTTTCACCCCTCTCGAGCGACTTCAAGAATCTCAACTCTTACAACGGATGGTTATGCTGCAGATGGGTGATCAAGATGTGGAGGTGACAGAGGAGAAGATGGACGAGGCTCAGCTCTCGAAAGGCAAAGCAGTGGAAGCTATGGCAGAAGGTAGTTATATTCAGAATTACTTGCTGAATGAAATTTAAGGCCTATTTTCAAAGTGCTTTACTTCAAACTGGAGCTGAATGATGAAGTGCCTAATGGAGAACTTTGCTTCGTAGTGTAATTTTCAGTGACCAGGCTTTGTCCTCTGCGTACGCCAAGTCGTATGGCAATTTGTATACGACCACTACTTAGATTTGAATACTCAAAAGATAGTTTGCTTTATTCGTTGTTATATATGACAACTTTATATAGCAAGTTACCTTCTTGATTTGTTCGTAAGGTCTGCTATCATTGTTTGCAGGGAAGTTGGAAGAAGCTCTTGAGTATTTTACCGAAGCTATAATCTGCAATCCACATTCAGCAATCCTATTCGCCAACCGAGGTATGATTTCATACGTATGTCTTGTAAGATTAACCAATATGCTGTGAACTTGAAACGGTTTTATTATATATTAACGTGTAGTGGATCATTTGTTCCCGATGTCTTGTTACCATTTAAACAATAACCGTTTATTATTCTGCTTGGAACAGCTGGTGTATACGTTAAAATGAAGAAGCCGAATGCTGCAATTAGAGACGCTGATGCTGCTATCAAGGTGACTTGAGAAGATAAATGTCGTGGTTCCTTTTGATGCTTTGAATGCCTCAAATCTCTTTCTAGTTTCCTTTGTTTGCTGGCTCCTGAATCGTGTATACGTTGTTGCCTTATTCAACTTCCGTGTTTACATCCCTGGTGTCTTGTTTTAGTGGTGAATCATTTTCTCTCTACTACCTCTAGTCAGTGACAACGAGTTCTGAAGCCTTTGGAAAATAGTGTTGATCTCGGTATCTTGTGCACTTCTCGATATTGCTCTTGGACTCAGATGCTCATTTATACTATTAATCATGTATCAATTGTATGATGAATTTTGGATTCTTTGTTTTAATTTTTAACATTTTTCTCTGAACGATACAAGTCATTTGTGCCTGATTTTGGAACACATCATCTAACAGATTAACCCAGACTCTGCAAAAGGTTACAAGTGCAGAGGTGAGGCCAAAGCATTGTTAGGGCAATGGGAAGAGTCGGCCAAGGATTTACGATTGGCATGTCGACTTGACTATGATGAGGGGACTGCCCAGGTTCTTAAAAAGGTATCTTTACGTCATGACTGCAGCATCAAAGTTGATTTTAAAATGACCTTATGAAGGCTTATTTACAGTTCCTCTTATACAGGGCCAGTCGATCAATTGACGTTCTGTAACATTTCTATGCTCTCTCCCTGTCGTATATCTAGGTTGAGCCAAATGCGCACAAAATTGAAGAACACCGAAGGAAGTACGACCGTTTGCGGAAAGAGCGCAATGAAAAAAGAGCGGCTCGGGAAAGGGAACAACGGCGTGCTGAGGCTCAGGTTATTCAGTTTGCATGCGTGCACATGTGTTAATCTTCACTTCAACTTGGTTGATGTTGTATTTCAGATTGTCTTAGAATTTTTTGTGTTGTGACCCTTCAATTCTATGTCCTTTCAGACTGAGAATATGAATGGTGAATTTAGGATCACAATGTGGCTTTGAAAGATTGATGACATTGATGAATTATGTATTGATTGGTCTGTGCAGGCTGCATATGCCAGAGCAAAAAAAGCTGAATCAACAGCACCTCCACGTGGCTCTGCAAGACCAGGAGGTATGCCAGGATTTCCAGGCGGCATGCCTGCAGGAATGGGCGGTATGCCAGGCATGGGAGGCATGCCAGGAATGGGCGGTATGCCTGCAGGAATGGGCGGTATGCCAGGAATGGGAGGTATGCCTGCAGGAATGGGCGGTATGCCAGGAATGGGAGGTATGCCGGGAATGGGAGGAGGGCCTGGGGGCATCGACATGAGCAAGATTCTTAATGTAAGCATTAGCATAGAGCATTAAAATGCATTCGCCCATTCTCTTGATCTATGTCGATCCTACCTAGAGCTCAATGGTATTATCGATATAATAACTTTTCTGTTGGATGCGAATGCTGTGCTTTTTGTGTCTAGACCGAGTTGCGACGTTTTAATGTCTCGTCAAACTTGTGATCGCAGGACCCAGAACTTATGGCTGCATTTTCTGATCCAGAAGTTATGGCAGCTCTTCAAGATGGTATGATTACTCTTTCGCTTAGAACTGTGCGATGTTTTTAATTGTTGATCTCTGAACTGAAGGTTTTAGGTCGAATGCTGGCGAATTCAATCCGGAAAAAAGTATTAATCTCTCCGCTCGTAGACGTTGCCAATATTTTTCTTGTGGCTACGTTAGGCAGTACCTTATTGGTGGTGTGTTAAGTGCACTGGTGGATTGGCATGATTCCCGAAGTACTTGAAAATTCTCGTTTAATTGAGGATTAGTGTCCAAAGAGCCTCATTATTATTGTTATTATTGTTATGCAGTGATGAAGAATCCTGCTAATCTAGCCAAGCATCAAGCGAATCCGAAGGTCGCACCGTTAATTGCCAAAATGTTAGGTAAATTTGGAGGTGGAGCTGCAAGGCAACCTTGAGGATCTTCATGCCTGAACACCGCTGTCTACTAGGCTAGTGAGATGCATTCACTGGCTGGCAGCTGCGCCTTTCCATGCGGGTGTGGTATTCAGTTTTGTTTCAATGTTAATGGTCTGACTGATATCTTGTGCAGTTGGGTTTACGCAAGGACCATAGGTTTAGGTCGCTGATACAGAAAAAATTCAAATTCTATCATCCTTGCATAGTTCGACGAATGTTCCGAAAAAATCATGGCCCATTCTGTGGCATCTTCTCTGGCAACTTTGTACACGTGACGTGATGCTCCACTTTGTTACTGAATCTGCACGTTTGAACAGTTGGTAGACCTGTCGAGCACTGGAACGGGAACGTTTACTTTATTGAAACTGATCTCCAGCTGTATGGCAATTATTTGTCCTGAGGTGATTCTTGAAACCATAGATTCTAATGGTTTCTGCAAAGTTTATTTCTTTAAGCATTTCCAACTTGTGCTAACTGCAAAACCTTGACCACTTTGGTGCAAGTACCAAGAAAAATGATCATCCGGTGGGAAAGATGGAACGATTATGAGGTCAACATTGCATGCCCGCAAACATCAATGAACATTGTTCTCGTCAGATATATCTTGATCCAATTACAGTTTCGGTTAGAACATACAATTCTACCACGATTTACGTTGCATGCCAAGTCATTGACTTGAAGAAATTGCACGATCGTCTCTCATTACACCTCTTCCATTGAGAATGTAAATAAGCATTGAAATGATGGGTGAACCGAATTCTAAAATACATACCCAAATAAAATACTTTCTGTTGTGATCTGGATGTCTGTAATTGAAATTAAATGGTCAAGTTTACTTTCTGTACATACGTATACAAGGTGTATGTATATATGCCTATTTTATTTGCACAGCTTAATTTGCCTCATCTTAAAAAATATACATCTTTTTGTTTAAAAACGATGTTGTTGGTAATGTAGATTTTGGAACGTTTAGACCCTTCAGACTACTATTTACACATAAAAATCTGAGTTGAAGGAATATTTTATTGACACTAAAATCTAAGAAATATCATAATTGCTTTAATCTTATAATACATAAAACATAAACAGTGAACACTGCATGATATAATTCTGATTGTTGTTTCAAATTAATAACAATGTCAAATCAAATTCAATACAAAAATCTGTGTTTGGTTCTTACAAAATTGTTACTTCTTGCTTGTAACTTTTTCACAAATTGTAGACATTTTTCATATTATGCCTATGATGGTGGACACATGTTTCTTATAGTCTAATAATAAAATGAATTAATTTGTTAGGAAACTTTCATGTGAGTATTTCCAACCAACTAGCTAAGAAGTAAGAAAAGTTATAAATATTAAAACCTTGAGAGAAGTCACGTTACTATGTGACCATCTTTTTTGGAAGTGACCATTTTTCAAACAAAGTTACTTTTAGTCATTCTCTCTTTTTATTTCTACTCCTTTGTATCATTTTAAATTTTGTAAGCCACAACTATTCCACTGCTCATTATTTTGAATTTTAAAACCGTGTATTTCTAACCAAGAGTAGGATCTAGACAAAGAAGTACTAAGCTCACATTTGACAACTTCAACCATTGGCATAATGTTTCTTCAATTGAAAAAAATAAACTTCAAATTGTTTTGAATGTTTTGTGTGTTATAATGATTTTTTGTATATGTGCTTGTTTATATGTATGTATTTTTATATGTGTCAAAATAAAAAAAATATTAAAAAATTATAATATTTATCTTGGATATTTTTCTACAAATCCAAAGGAACATTTAATATAAAAATAGTAACTTTATAGCTTTTCTACAAATTTGTATATAATTATTTAATGTGGATAATGAGGTACTATACTTTTGCCCCTAAAAGCATATTATCCAGGATAGAGAAACTATACTTACAAAATTCCACTAACTTGTGGTGATCTTTTGATTTGTAGGGAATGGTATCAAATTGTCGCTGTCTTTCTTTGATAATTAATTATTATTGTTATTGTTGTCTTATGTGTGGAGAGTCTAGAAGTTGCATCATATGATCTTGTTTCATTTCTACAAGTATATCTTCTACTTCCTATTCTAATTCCAAGTTGATTGAGTACATTGAGGTTTGGTTTTTAAAGAATATATTTAGAGATGTTTATGCTATCATCTAACTGTCGCAAATCTCTTGCTCTACTTTATCAAATAGGGAGTATAATCCTAGTGATAGCTCCTTGCATCTATAAGTCCATTTGATTGATTAGACTTGAAAGGAAGAACAAGAGGTACTGAGATGGTATCTTTTACAAGTTTTCTAAAGAGATATTCTAGAAGTAGAAGCGAGTTATATTTTGAGGGACTATCTAAAGTAATAAATACTTTTGATGTAGTCCATATATCTTACAACAATTTGATCATGTTGAATTATTTTTTTGATAAGCATTTCAATTAGAAAAATGCTTTGCAACACTTCCATTCCAATATGTATCATTATTTTCTAAGCATAGAAGAGTACTTTGCCTAGTAAGAATGTGAGACCTTTAATTTCTACTCTACATTGTTATATCCAAATGTTCAAATGGATGCATGTCCGGAGGAGGTCTCACGGAGTAGTATTATTTACTTGGATACAAGAACTAGAGTCTTACAATGATGTACTTGCAATTTTGGAGCTTCCTATGTCGTTTAGTACCAAATTTGATAGATTATCAATCACCAAATTGATTCAATAATATGTAGTGTGAATGCAAAGCAACAAAGTATTTTCACGGTGATGATTCTATGGGCCTAGTGTATAGAGCATATTCACATGTTTTGATGTGACATAATCTATATCCTTTTGCCCAATATACTTTTATTCTCCATTTTCATATAAAGAGTCCTCTTGCCAAGTAGAGCCACTGCATAATAGCGATTATTGAAGAAGAACCAAGGATGCCACATCCTTTGCATAAATTTTTTTTGTTGCTAGATAGAATAACCATGTCTTTTTAGATCTAGTAGATCCTTCATTTTAGTGATTGTCCATAATAAACTTGTTCTATATCCATACTTAATTATGTATTTATAAAAATTAATAAGTTTAAGGCTACCAAGTTTTTTTCATTTCCAATCTTTTGGATCCCACTTTAATTTTCTAATAGGTCGTCTCTCAAAAAGCCAATTTTTTTAGTCTTTTGAAATGACTTTGAGAATAAATTTTATTCTCTCACTTTTGGAGCATGATGTGATGAGAACTTGGATGAGATAGCATATCACATGATGTATTTTCTTCTAATAAATAGACTTGATATTTTCTACTTAGCCATTTCAATCCATGGAATTGATACATGTGATATACTATTTTGATATTTGTTGTTAAAAGTCCTATCCAATCTCTATCTTCACTTGAAATTATATGAGATGGTGTCCATGAGATGGTATTGGAAAATTCAATCTACTATGCATGGGTTGTTCTTGGCCTAATTAATACTTTAAAAAAAGCCAATGAATGCCAAATGCCTACAAGCTGATGAAATATATCTAGGATTTAAAATACTCTATTATTTTCTCATATCAAATACATCGAGGTGGATTCTATATAAAAGTTTGATCTTATAAGTTGTAATATTAAAGAATTTTTGAATAAAGGTTATCTTAAGATTTTTGTTGCATATTCACAACCAATTTGTTGAAGGCCTGATTTTATTAAAAAAAAAGCTTGAAATATGGCTTTTTAAAGAAGAATAGATCTTTATAGATGTCTATCATAGATATACATAAATATACTAGTAAATACCTATATTAGGTAGAATTAGATAAAAGTAAATAAAAATAGGTTAATTCCTAATACTTTTTAGAAAAGCTTCTTAAAAGCTTCATAGATGCTACTTTAGCTTTATATATGTTGTAGTTGATTGATAGGTTAGAAACTTGATTGACAAGTTAACCACATATTGGGAGCTTGTAGAATAAGCTAATTATGTGGCTCACATATAGAAAACTTGACTTATAAGTTAAGATATGTGTCTTATAAAGTTAATACATTTTAGAGGTCCTATAGGATGTTGCTACATAGCTTCTAGTTAAGACTATGTATGGAGATAAGAGTGAAGCCTTCTTCACTCTTGTCAATATCTTTTTAGTCCTTAGTCTTCTTTCAATACTTTTTAGTCTCCTTGTTTTTGGCAATAGCCATTCTAGTTTAGTAATATATCATCTTTGAATGACTTTTTAGTTCTTTTTAGTGTCATAAGAGTGTATCGAAGATTTTTTTCTTTGTGATTTATATTCTTCATACTTTGATAAAAATACTAACTTACTATTTTTATATTATTTTAGAAGTGAGTAGATTATTCCACTTCTATTTTTGTATTTTAAAGATTACAAATTATCCACTTTAAATATATATATATATTCTTTTAATATTGGTATTTTCTTTAAAGAGATTGGATTATACATCTTTATCAAAATTTTTATTTAGTATTAGAGGTTGTAGATTATATTCTTCTAATTTAATTTTTTGAATTTATTTGAGTTGTCTATGGAAGGAAAGATTATGGATGCTACTCTCAATAGAAGTGAGAATAGATTTGCAACTATTGTAGATTTTTAAGAGCTTGTCAATACTCCAACAATAGAAATCTCACATATTTTTAATGTGAATCATGGAGGTACTATACCTATACCTATGCCTATGGAAGAAGTTCAGAGTTTACGACAAGAAATTGTACAGTTGAAAGAAGCAAGTAGATCGACCTTGCAACCAAATCCAAGGAGTTTTGCTTCTACAAGTATGACAGGAATAAGGATTAATATGCAAGAAAAGTTTGATAGAATAAGATCAAAGTTTTGAAGATTTCTAGAATAAATCAAGCTCTATTTAAGGTTGCATCCCTTCCAATATCTCAGTGGATTTACTCAAGTCAGATTTATGCATGCACTTCTATCGAGAAGTGTTCTTTTTTGGTTTTCACCTTTAATGTTAAATAATTTGTGACTCCTTTATGATTTGAATTCATTTTTAGAAGTATTTACAGTTACATTCAAAGAAAGTGATCAAGAAAGAGTAGCAGAACCAAGCTCTTAACTTTACGACAAGGATCAAAATCAGCTATCATATATGCTAATAAATTCTAAAACCTAACTTGTGATATGGATTGGAATAAAAAAGCCCTTATCAATTAATTTTCATATGGATTGAAGAATAATGTCAAAGATTTGTTATTGATAATATCAAAGGTAGAATTTTTTGAATAATTTATCATTCAAGCTATTGCATGTAAAAATCAATTATTTGAAAGATGACAAGAATAAAGATTTGGCTAGAGAGGAACAAAACAAATAATGACAAAAACTTCCAAGTTTTTAGAAACTTATTCATCAATGCCAATACCAATGTAA